GCGATCTTGCTACGGCATGAAAAGTGCAAAAACGCATAATCGCACCGGCCCGCCTGGTGCGTTCCAACCTGGGTTTAATCAGTTTTACCTACTCCACTCGTTCCACTCGGATCGTTGACCTACGATTCGGCTGTCTAACGGCCGGTGCTTAACACTGTAGTATTACTGCTCACAAGTGTTGCTTTTCAGTCACATCATTGCGTAGCCAGTAGGTACCACAGATAGTCCAATGATTAAAGGCAATGTTGCTGTCAACTTTTAAAAAAAGTAGCACTTCAGTGAGCTCATTTCTCAAAACTAAACATTTTAGATATGGCCCAGTTTAGCTGCCAGGAAGTAGTCTGGAATTTCACTAAAGCAGTTTGTGGAGCCCAAGTTTTTTAGGGGTCATCAAGCGTTGAAACACGTCCACCGAGTGCCGGAGAGCAAGCAGTGAAATCGGAAACAAGTCCAGATCAAGAAGAGAATGTTCAGTGCCCTCAGGAAGGTAATCTTTGCCAAGCAATTTGGGATTCACTTTTTGTAGTCCAGTTACACAACCTAAATACCACACGAGTTGCTAGCAGATTGTTGGCTTGAGGATAGCAGGAAGCAGTGAAATTTCTTCTCAGGGCTAAACAGTTTAGATAGAACGCAAGTTAACTGGTGGGGAAGCTGGAATCCCACTAGAACTGTTTATGAATCTCTACAAAAGCCAGTACGGGCCAGAAGGGCTTTGTAGGGAAGAGAATAGAGGGCCGGAACAGCGGCCCCATAGCTAAGGGTATTACCGGAAGGGCGCCAAAGTTCGTAAATGAAGACAAAGTTGTTTTTTAGGAGCATAATTTTCTAAAAAAGCGATCTATCAGAGATAGTTTTCAAACCTAAAAGAATTAAAAAAGTTACTCTGTACCCTCTCGTTTTGCTTGACGGTACTTGGACAGTCCAATAGCAGCAGATAAATTGCTTTCAGGCTGCGAAATCACTGGTACAAGCGAAAATGATGAGAAAAGTAACATGGATGAGAAAAATATTTTTATGTCGTAAGTTCTATCACAGCTTTTTGATGACCAGCCAGTGCTTTTTCATGCTTAATACTTGAAACAGCCGGCAGTAATTCACCATTGATTCATCTTTGGCATGATAGACAACCTTGCCATTTTCCTTCTTCATTTAACAGTTGTTTTGACCAATACTGCATCAGCTAATGGCCAGCCTTTTGGCATATCGAATGTTCTTTTCGTCTTCTGAAGGGATTATCTACTTGGCCAACAGTAGCATTTTGACGAGACTTTAGCCACTTGAAGATTCAGCGATGTTTCTTATGCGGTACCGATTTTTCCCGCAAATACTGATATGCTGTTGGAATGCATTTTTATTTATTTTTGGCACATCTGTTAAATTTTTCAATGGCGGTATAAGTGAAATTGCCTCAGATCGACCGGATATTGTCAGATTGCTAGCTAAATCTGTCACTTGCATATTTATGCTTCAGTGATGACAGTGAGGACGAGGAGGATATTGATTCGTTGCTCGAAAAGCCAGTGGAGGAAGCGAATGTTGGTAGCGTGATTTTGCCGGAAGGTGGCGAGAAACGGCAAAAACGAGTGCTGAAACATCGCGTAACAACGCCGTTTGAATGTTTGCCTGAAGGATGGGTGGAAGTGACGCATTGCAGTGGTCTTCCCGTCTATGTGGTTCGATTTTTCTTTCCATTTGCTTTAAAAAACCCATTTGAACTTCGCTTTTGTTAAGTTTGTTAGTTGCTAGCTTCAGAATTATTGGGGAAAGAGGGAGAAGGGGCAAAGAATGCACTAAAAGTGTTTCACTGAAAACTTATGAGCTTAGATTAACCTCAATTTTTACTCGGAAAAAACAACGCCAGAGCATTGTTTCTGTACGATTCTTGTCTTCTTTCGACGTAAATTTTTACTACTACCGCTGAGCATGCTGACTTCTCGGGATTTCAGGAGAGAAAATCACGGGTATGTACTTTTTCACGTCCATACTGCATTGGAAGAGGCAGTGCGCGAAATCACGCTGTGCCTGTTTCGGCAATCCCCTGCCTACATCAAAAA